TGAAAATGAAAATTTTGCAGAAGATTCAACTTGACTCCCACATATTAGGTCATGGGTGGATATTTAGAAATACAGTGTTATCTAAAGCATTATTTCTTAATTTCTTATTCAGCGAAAAAGACAGGCAGAAGGGCTAATCACCCTAATGTCGTTCGTAGATAAATTTACGTTGGTAAAAATTTCTTTTTTAAAAGTGTTTATTTGTCAGGTATCCATTATATTTCCGGTCATTCCAAATATTTATCAAAGCCATTGTGCACAAATTTTCTTAACATAACACCAAAGATCAAGTTACTGGGCATAATTTTTTACAAAATTTTGCAAAAATATGTTACTATTTACTGTGGCAATGTAAGTAGCTTAATCAACACTATTGGCAAAGCTTACTGTAATATTGAGCAAACTTACACATTCGTTCGGGTCCTAAATTCTGGGCAGTGTTGCGTTCTGCACAATACTTCGTCTTAAATCTAATCGACCGTAGTGTCTAGTACTGTGTAATTTTGTTCCTTGAGGATTCCGTAGTAGAGGGAATGAACTTACCACGATTAGGAGGACTCGAGCTCCGAGTATCATTCTTGAACCTACCAATGCTATCCTGAGATTCACGATCCCCACATCCAGGTTCTTTCCATATCAGCAGGAGATCTTCTTGGAGACCCACCAACTGCTGGTATTGCAGAACCGAAACGTTCATAATTCTTCGGCAGGAAGCTGGCACTCCTTGATCTGATGAACTCAAATTCAGGGCAAAAACCGAGTGGTTTTCCCCATTAAGGCAAGACAATGGTACAAACTGATATGAAGCATAATCCATCCGGTCTGAAGAACAGTTCAGGAAAGTGTAGTTTATTGTATAAGAAGCTTGGAAAGGAGAACCCGACAGGCTGAAATTTAGCATTCTTTTAGGAAGACAAAGATCGGGATCCTTGATGGATATAGCCTGTTCGATGTAATCTATGGAGTCCAGTACAAATTCACCAGATTGTGGCAGGTTTAAGACTGTCTGATTTTGAT